TTTATCATATACCAGTAACACTTCAATATAGACACTGGACTGCTAACTGCAAGATTGGCAGTTCAAACACACCAAATGCTTTCAGAAATCACTGAGTCTGAAGCAATTTGACAGCACACAACAGCAACATGAAACCAAAGCCATTGCTGACAATTCTGAATCACAGGAAGATCCCATGTGTCACAGAGCTGCTCCATAGGTTTTACTAGCTGTCATTTTTAGGGAAGAGCCCACCAGTCCTTTCTCGTGTGATGTCACTGGATGAGTTTGAACTGCCAACCTTCAGATTAGTAATCACTGAACACTAATCATTTGTGCCACTCAGGAACCTTCTCAGACATCAACAAAGATCTATATATATGTGAGTATGTGTCTGTCTGTATATGGAGGCCTGGGGCGGCGCTGTGGGTTAATGCGCCATTAATGCACCAAACTGCAAAGCCGTTTGAACTGCAAGGTCGGTGGTTCAAGCTCACCACCTGCTTCTCGGAAACCCTATACAGGGTCGCTATGGGTCAGAACCGACTTGAGAGCACTTCACAACAACACCCATTGTTGTTAAGTGCCATTGAGTTAACTCCCAACTCATAGCAATCCTGTATAGGGTTTCCGAGGAGCAGCTGGTGGATTTGAATTGCCGACCTTGTGGCTTGCGGTTCAGTGCTGATCCTACAGCATCTCTCACACACACACATGAAATACTACCTGTTAGATATTTTAAAATTATGGCTAGCATTTTGTAGTCAACACATCAGCTTAGAGACAAGTCGATTTTAGGTCTGGTCCCAGCCTTCCTCATAATACTCTTACACTTGTGCGCACAGACATCCATTCGTGTTTACTGAGATTTTGTTCAGTGGGAAAAAACCTTTTTTTTTCTCTCACCTTTAAATATGGTAGTGTTTGTTGGAGTAAAAATAGAACATGATTCTGAAAGAACAGTTGAATTCCTCCTGACTCCGCCTGACGTTTTGATGCTTTTAATTGCCTACTCGGGAATTGCTAACACCTGCGTGCATGCCTTCACGCTGTAACGAAACAGCTGCAGCAGACACAGCCTCACCACATCTAGAGTCTTCGGAGGTCATATTCTGGCTTCAAGTTTGCCTCACTGGTGACCACAACAACAGAATAGGAAGGGTGCTGAGGTTTATACATGACGCAGAACTTCCTTTTCTTAGCCACAGCTTTCATTTCCCAGCAGTGTTATAATCTGGTCTACACCGTTCTCTCCACTGAGGGTAAGTTGTCTGGGTTACATGTGATGGTGAAACCGCTACAAGTTAATTGTGGTGGTGTTTTTCTTCTTTTGTTTTGAGGGAAACAAAGTGGATAAAAAAAATAAAGTAGGATAAGCAGTGGACTGGTAACCACAAGGTCCCTAGTTCAAATTCACTAGCTGCTCCTTAGAAACTCCATACAGGGTCACTATGAGTCAGAACTGACTGGGCAACAGTTAACAACAAAGCATTTAATGATTCCTTAGGACCACGTGTAATCACTGTGTAACATTCATTCATGTGATACCTCTTTTCAAAAAATATTTTTATTTTTTAAAACTTCGTACTGTGAATTGAGTGAAGGCTGATCATCAGTTTTACATTCCACAAACCATAAACTGTTTCATTTCCATTGTAATGTTTTCATTGTAACATCACTGCTCCGTTGGTTTACTCCCATCCCTCCTCCTCTCCCTGCCCTTCTGAAATTTTCCCTTTGGTAAATGCTGCCCTTTTAAGCTCACATAGTTGACTTTTCTCTGGAGTGTGGATTCTGTCTCATTCCTTCTTCTTTAGCACATACCTGCCAGGTACCAGTTTGTTGAGACGCTCTGATATACGGATGCGATGGGGCGCCCTCTGTACAACTTGGAGATAAAGTTATTCTCTCTCGGAGTTCAACTCATGAAATCTCAGTGTACCAATTAAATGGGTCATCTGAGGCGATCAACCAAGAAAAAGTCAGTTGTAAACAAGAGTCTGAAACTGCCAACCATTGAAGTGTTGAGTTGTTGGTCTTGGAGCAATGCTCCCTAGTGCTGTGTCATGCTCACAATCCTTGCTGTTGGAGGCCATTGTTACAACCAGAGTGTCACTCCCTGTCTTTGAGGGTCTTTGTCTTTTCACTGACCCTCTACGAAGCACACTGTCCTTCCACAGGGGCTGGCCCCTTCTGATAAAGTGTCCACAATATAGTCTCACAGGCCTTACCTCTAAGCAGCATTCTGTCTCTGCTTCTCCCAGTACAGATTGACGTTGTCAAGGACTTCATTCTTCTTGGATCAATTATCAACACTCACTGAAGCAGCAGTCAAGAGATCAGACGACGTATTGCATTAGGCAAATCTGCTGCACAGGAACTTTTTAAAGTGATGAAGAGCAAAGATGTCAGCTTGAGGACTAAGGTGCACCTGACCCAAGCCATGGTGTTTTCAATAACCTCATAAGCAAGCGAAAGCTGGACAGTGAATAAGGAAGAACATAGAAGAATTGATGCTTTTGAGTTATGATGTTGGAGGAGAATATTGGAAGTGCCACGGACTGTCAAAAGAACCAATAGATCTGTTTTGGAAGAAGTGCAGCCAGAGTGCTCCTTGGAGGCCAGGATGGCTAAGCTTCGTCTCTCCTACTTTGTACATATTGTCAGGAGGGATCAGTCGCTGCAGAAGGAGATCGTGTTTGGTAAGGTGGAGGGTCAGAGAAAAAGAGGAAGACCCCCAACGAGATGGACTGGCTAAGAGGCAGCATCAATGGACTCAAGTGTGGCAACAGTAGTGAGGTTGGCCCAGGATCGGGCAGTATTTCGTTTGCTGTGCTTAAGGTCGCTATGGGTCGGTACCAACTGGATGGCACCTAACCACAACCCGGGTTCTCTGACATGGTTGTTGTTAAGTGCTGCCTAGTCATTTCTGAGTCATAACAACCCTGAATAGGGTTTCCAAGCAGCAGCTGGTGAGTGTGGAACCTGTGACCTTGTGCTTAGAACCTACCTGCCTTCTAGTGCATTACCCTACAGCACCTCACCCGGGTGCCATGACAGGGTAAAGGCCCCATAGGTGGGGGCATCCAGTGATGTCCCCCAGCTGCTGGGACACAGTGCTCCCGAGAGAGGCCCCTCCCTGAGGGAGATCTGTCTGTGGTCAGGGGAGGGTGTCCTCTTACCTTCCCGACTCCAGTTGCAGTATAGTCGGTAGAGTGGACCACACTCTGCTTCTAAAATTTGTAGTGTCCACCCACCAGAGGGTAAAGGAGGGAGAAAGGGCTGGTGGAGCACACCCCAAGTGGTAGCCTTTCATGGATTGTAATCCTGACTGGCTTTATTTTTCATTGTAGTATGTATAACAAAATGTGTCAATTCCACATGCTTCTTACATGTGTAATTTAGTGACATTGATTACACTCACCATGCTGTGCCACCCTAAGTGATATCCATTTCCAGATGATTCCACCACCATTAACAGAACTCTGAGACCCCCTAAGTGAAGACTCCCAGTCCCTCCTAGTCCGTCACTGGTGACCACTCCTAAACTCCGTTGTCTCTAACTGCCCAGTTCACATTAGCTAGCGGGTGTGTAGAGTGTTTGACCTTTTGTGGCTGGCTGTGGTCACTCAGCAGGTTTTCAAGGTTGTCCACATCGTGCTGTGACTCACAGCTTCACTTTTTCTATGGCTGAGTAAGATTCCATTGTACACTGTTTATCCATTCGTTGTTGATGCGCATTTAGGTTGTTTTCATCTTTAGCTATTGTCAACAGTGACGCAGTGAACCCTGGTGTATGGACTCGCTGGTGTTCTCCCATCGCTGAAAGGACAGAAGTGAAACACCCTCATTCCCCACCCCCACCCCCATCAAAGGGAAACTGAGGACTGGCTCCTGATGGCAGGACCTGACAATTGTCCCCACAGCTGAAGTTTCAGAGAACATTGTGACTTGGGCTCAACCTAAAGATTATCATCCTTTCGGAGAACCTGGCATTTTCTATATTTTCTAAATAGTTACGGTGTTTTTGAAGAGAAGTGTTAAAAGTTGTAGATACCCAAGAGGCGAGGAAGCAAAAGCAGGAAACATGCAGGCTCCTTCCTCCATTCATGTTAGGGTGGGAGGCACCTCTGGTACACACTGGACATGGGCAGGTGACCAGAGCTGGGCAGGGTGAGCAGCCTCCCTGCTGGCTATGCGGAGGGTATGAGCAGGGCACTCTCTTTCTCAGATGCTGACCGGCTCTGTGGGCAGGTCAGCAGGCTGCAGCCAGCTGGAAAGGGAGCAGAGGAAGGGGCCAAACGTCTGACAGTGGTTACTGGACTCTCCAGACTTCTGGACTTTGCTTGGCAACAGCTGAGGTGTTCCAGGAGGCATGAGAGGACGACGGGAGTTCAGAGCAGGTGAGGAGGCCTCCCCACCTAGCACCTGATGGAAATGCCAGCAGAGGCCAAGGTTACTGGGCAGCCCAGGGGCGGCCCACATCCCTCCTGAATGAAGCCACCGCCCCCCAACCCCAGCTTGTATGGGCTGTGTCCAGAAAAGTCAGACTAGGATGAAGGGAAAGGAGGGGAGATCCTTCCCAGAGGGTCACCCTGACCCCCATCCACTTGGTGTTAAGTCAATTCTGACCCCTAGTGACCCTGGAGGATAGTGTCGAATTGCTCCCATAAGATTTTCAAAGCTGTGAATCTTTAGGGAACAGCTTGTGGGTTCAAACAGCTGACCTTTCAGTTAGCAGCCAAGCATTCTAAACACTGCACCACCTAAAGGGGGCTAAGAAAGGTGAGCACACCAGAGGTCTGTGGTGTGGCCCCCATAAGCTGAGTCCCTCCCAGAACCTCCAAACTGCTCAGAAGACTCCCCTGGCTACATCCCACATGCTGCCTGATCCCTGGGGGGGTGGAAACCCAAGATCACCCAAGAACACAACAAAACCACATGCTCAGTGATTGGAGGTCACGGGAAGGGTAAAGGATAAAGGTCACAGGGAAGCCCAGGGTGGAGGAGCAGTATGTCACCTAGAGCTTCGACGGCAAGGAATGGGACTTTGGCAGCATCTCGACGTTGTTGGGGGAGGTCAGCCACATGCCACCGTCGACCACCAGCATGGCTCCTGTCACATAGGATGCCGCAGGGCTGGCCAGGTAGAGCGCACTGTGGGCAATCTCAGTCTTGCTCCCCACCCTCTGCAGGGGACTTTCGGAGAAGTGCAATACCCTCATGGCCTGGGGACTAACTGAAACCGGAGGGCACCAGGCCGTGGGTGAGGTCATGCTGCCCTCACGCCTCGGCCAGCCCCAGGATCCCAAAGCCCCATTTTCTGGACAGCCCTTTCTCTGCTACCGTCACCAAGGCCTAGCCGAGCAGGGACAAACCAAGTCAAGAGTAAGGACAGAGCCTTTCACTCAACACCAGCCCAACTTCTGGGAGATTCCGGACTTCCCAGAGCTGCTGCCTCAATCCAGCTGAGGACTGTCCCTGAGGCCAACACTTACCACTGGACCGTGAGAGGGAAGCCCTGCAGAAGACCTGGCATCCCAGAGCTTACCTAGCCGCCGGAATCCTTCAGTGCCGCTGATGGGGCCGGGGGCCAGGCTGTTGACACGGATATTCTGGTGGCCCCACTCCACAGCCAGATGCCGCGTCATAGCGTCTGCTCGAGACGAGAGCCAGTATAAGAGTCTCTGCCTTCCGGGGAGGCTCAGTTCCACCCTGAAACCGTGGCCCCAAGCCCATGGGAGGGGCCATACCCACGGCAGCCTTGGCAGCACCTGCATGCACCTGGAGTACCTGCCCCCGGTAGCCAAGGGTCGCGGTGATGTTCAGGATCACACCTCCGTGGTCCTGCCATGGGGGAGGGGAGAGTGAGTGGGCAGCCTGAGGAGGGGGACACGACCCGAAGGACACCCACCCGAAAGAACTTCTCGTAGAGCACTCGGGACACGTTGAAGGTGCCAGCGGTGTCAATGTCTAGCACAGTCCTGAAGGCGTTGAAGGACAGGGCACTGGCGGGGCACAGGAAGTTCCCGGCTGCACCTGCAGGGTGAGAAGAGAGGCTGAGTCATACTGGCTGGGAACGGGGTGGGCAGCTGCGGGCAGAGGCTCTGGGGGGCATGGCAGTCACGGAGGGGGCCGACCCTCATGTACTCTTAGAGTATTCGGATAATCGCTTGGATGACAGAAGATAAAATAAAATACTGGCAAAAGGTAATTTCCGCCAAGTGGGCATTAACATAAACTATTCAAAAACCAAGTGACTGCCATGAAGTCAATTCGGACTCACAGCGATTCTGAGACTGTAAATCTTTACGGGAGTACACAGTCTCATTGTTCTCCCAGAGCAGCTGGTGGGCCAACTGCCAACCTTGCAATTAATAGTCCAACACCTAATCCACACATCATCGAAGTCCTGATACATGCTACGACAGGGAAGAGCCATGAAGACATCACGATGGATAAATATGTCAGACACAAAAAGACGATATTGTATGATTACAACACCAACTGTCGGCAAGCGGATTCTGACTCCAGCAACCGTACAGGACAGAGGGCGATGTCCCACAGGAGTTCCCGGACAATAGTTTTATAGAAGCAGACTGCCAAACCTTTCTCCCATTGAACAGTGGGTTTGAAATGCCGACATCAGTTAGTAGCCATATGCTTACCCACTGCATCACTGAAAAGGGAGTGACTCCCAAAGATCAGTGGTTGCTTGGGGCTAAGGAAGGGGCTGGGGGGTGGGGTGGGGCTGTTTCATAAGGGTCACCAGGTTTCTGTCTTGAATTTAATAAACACTGTTTGAAAATGGACAATGGTGATGGTTTCACAGCTTGTGTCACTGATGACTACACTTGCAAGAATGGCTGAAACTAGGAAAATGCTGTGATACATGTTTACCACAATAAAATTAAACTACATGCATTGACTTAGTAATTGTAACAAAGATAACATGCAGATGCCACGTGTTACTAATAGAGAAAAGTGGGTGGGAAAGAGAAGATAATGTGAGGTTTTCTGTAAACTGCGGCCACTCACAGTGACCCCACTGGGCAGACTAGTGCTGCCTCAGTTTCCAAGGCTGCAATCTTTTCGGGAGCAGACTGCCACATCTTAATGCCTTTAAGCAGCTGGTCTTTCGGTTAGCAGCCAGCACTTACCCACTGCACACCAGGGTCTCTACTAAATTTACTAATTATTGGTGTCCTGGTGTGGCGCTGTGCATAATGCGCTGGACTGCAATGTTGGTTTGAATCTTAAGGACAAGCTCAGCAGCTACTCTTGATTAACCCCGGATCGGGTCACTTTGGGTTGGAAATGACTTTACAACCACTGATTATTACTGCTGTTTTTGTTAAAGGGAACTTCCCGGGCGGGCCTGACTCTGGCTCTGTGAAGGGTCGCTCTGGAAATACTCATTGTCCGAAGGGGTTCTGGCAAGGTCTTCCCACGGAGCCCCTCCCAGGGCCGATAAAGGGAAGGTCTAGGATTGCCAAATGGTCAGAAGCCCGGTGCTCACTAACTCACCATTCACAAGAATGTCAATTTTCCCAAACTCCCTCAGCGCCTGATCCACTGCAGCTGTGATGGTCGGGGTATTTCGGACGTCCAGGGAGAGAGGGAGGCACCGCTGACCTGTGGCCGCAGTCAGTTTCTTGGCAGCCTAGAAAGCAGACAGTGAGGCCTGGGCAATCCCTGCTCTGTGTGGAAGCCAGCTTTGCAACTGGGCCCCACTCTGGGGAAGCACCATCTGCAGGCGGTCACCCTAGGCCTGCAATCCCAGATGATCTGCCCCATCCCCAAGTTCCCCCCTGGCCTTTGTCACCAGTCATGTCAGACACAGGTGAGTGTCCATCCCTGCCTGGACACAGTACTACTCTAAAGAGAAGTTCCTCCCAGTCATGGACCTATGTTCTCTGGCATGTGGGCCACCACCTAATGCCCAAAGCTCTGCAGGGACCAATGGTCCTGGGAGACCATGTCCACTGAAGCCACCCCAGGACTCCCCCAGAGACCCACAAGACAGGGCCAGGAGATGCCCTCACCGTGGACACTCTGGGCAGGCTTCTGCTAGCGATGACCGTGTGGCAGCCATGCCTGTGAAACCAGAGAGCAGCCATGAGGATGGCTAGACACAAAGGCCACAGCCAGGACAGCTGCTCATCGCTTTATGCATGGGTCCCTCCCAAAGGGTTTCTCGGGCTGTGGTACCAGTCCAGGGCAGGGGCCCAGAGCTAAACAGTGGGCATGGGAACTGTTGCCTGGAAGGTTCCTAGTCCACCCAGGGATACAGTCCCACCCGCAAACACCCGATACCAGAACAGCATGGCACTGCTGCTCATTCCTGCTCAGCTCCGTCCCCACCATCACACCTCCGTAATCTTTGAAACAGAGGACTCAATCACACTGCTCAGAAAAGGTGCTCACCTCTCTGATATGAAAAGCAGGTTTTGGGTGACATGGTGGAGGTGTCCCCTGGGTATCAGCAGGTTTACTTTCCCCCACACCAACCCACGTCCTGGGCATCTCCTCAGTTCCTGGGTGGGCTGGCAAGGTGCCTCCCTGGGCCTTAAGCCATATAACTTGTGTTCAAGGGCACTCTGTCCTCCACACACTGGTGTCCACCCACCTTGGCCAAGAGAGGCCTCAGCAGAGTCACTGAACCTGCTGGACCAAGGGTTGTTTATACCCAATTGCACAAGAATCCGTTTCTGACTTGATGCCTGCCAAGGTCTTCCCATGTGTCGCCAAGGGTTCATACATGATCAGGGGACCCTCACTGCCTGCTCTGGGGCCACCGTGAAATGCCCACCCCTCCCCTCTTGGTGCAATTGGCGTGCTGAGACGATAGCCTCAACAGCCTGGACAAACACGGAGAGGACCCCAGAGTTCTGATGCTCCCCACCTCTCGTGGGTCTGCTCAGGGGCTCTGGGACCAACCCTGTCTTCAATGGGCACTCCTACCAACATCCTGTCCAGCGAACCGTGATAGGCCCAGGGAGAGGTGGGGGCCACAGAGCAGTGCTCACCGCATGAAGACCTCAGCAATCCGGAAGCCGATCCCGGAGCCCCCTCCAGTGATAAAGGCCACCTTGTCTCTGAAAGGAGCAAAACAGGGTCTCTACAAAGAGAGGACTCCGTCATCTGCGGGGATGGGTAACTCTGGAGGCCTTTGCCCTCTGCACCCGCACTTCATAGGTTTTTACTGCTAACAAGAAACTAGGTTATTTTTATAGGAACATAAAACGATCCTTTCCGAAGTCCGGCTCTCCAAGGTTCTGGGTCTGTGGACCCCTTTCTCCACCCACTTCGCACCCACCGCAACCTCGGGGACCCCAAGGCCTGCAGTTCAAAACCGCGAGGGGTACAGACGGTTGTCGGTACAAAGGTTGCCGGGTGGCCTGTACTGTCTGCTCGCTGGTGTGGGGCCCACACCCGAGTAAGCCACATTTCCCCCCACCTCTCCTGGGACTGCACCCAGGGCACCCCGGACCCCATGCGGCGCCCACCGGAGCAAGTCCGGGGAAAAGAGGTAGCAGTACTCGTGGAGACAGTCATCCCCGTCGGCGTCCAGCGGCATCAGGGCCATAGCCTCGGAGCTAGGGAGACAAGAACACGTTCGGCGGTCAGCTGACCAGCCCCCGGACTCTGAATGCGCGCTCCACCGCGAACGCTCCGCCCTCCCGCAGCCACGCCCCCGAGTTATCCATGCCACGCCCCACGTGCTACGCCCTTTATGTACTTCCGGCTGAAAGCTTCCGCCTGTCTCTGGGCCTCCGCCACGCCCCTCACAACCCGCCTCGCACCCCCACCATGTTACGCCCACTACGTATAACTATTCCGGCATGTTCCGCCCCTAAACGTACGCTCCGCCCCTCCCCGCACGCCTCATCCATTGCAGCCGCGCTGCCTTCTGGGACTGCAGGGTGAGGCCGCAGGTGCAGTGTGTGCTGGCCTATATAGGGGAGTCCCGCGGGGTCCAGGGCTGTGTCTGCCCCCGCGGGTCGATCTGTGCCTTAAAATACCTGGTTGAGGACACGCAGCAGTGAAACACAGCCAGTTATTGGACAGAACGCTTCCCCCCCCTCTCTGTTCTTAACGATGTGTGTGTGTGGGGGGGGGTGACGGGGAGGGGACACGAAGATCCTGAGAAAACTGGGGAAAGGAGAGTAGTTGTCAGACTGAGAAGGTGCCTGTCCGGTGCTGGGTCCCATAAAGGTCTTTCTTGTGGTACTGAAAGTCATGCCCTCCTTGGAGGCTCCGGGCAGTTGCTGATGTAGGGAGCCCAGGTCTTGAACACAGATCACCAAAAACTAGATTACATGACCTTAGCAGGGTTCACTCCCTGGTACCGGCAATCAGGGAGCCTCAGGACCAAGGGGCAAAATTAGGGTATCAACTGGAAAGAAATGCCCAGTAGCTTTATGAGGGGGACCTGCCCTGAGGGTGGGCTCCAGCTCCAAATGACCACAGCCCCACCTACCCCTGTCCCACTGTAGCCTACAGGCCAGATCGAAAGGGCTAGGGCAGCTGGACTTCCCCCTCCCTGGAGGTCTCTGGACCCCTACCTGGCTCTTGTGCTTAACAAAGCTGTGGATCCTTTACAGTAACCTTCATTTTACTCCTCAAGCTGTTTACAACTTCCCAGATGGCTTCCAAAGCAAATACACACACTAAAAACTGAGAGCACCTTGAATTTTAATGTCTCCCTTTGGGGCAAAGGGTCACACCATCCAAAAGGTTGTCTGGCACTTTGGTACAGAAAGGCACACAGAATCAGCGATGACTCAGAGGTCACCTTGGCTGGGTTGTGGAAGAAGGTCCCCAGGAGGTGGTTTGGAAAGGCGGGCAGAGCATGGGTGCAGCTTTAATCTTGTTGCCAGAGGTAGTTGGGCTGGAGAGCAGCCAGAGTTCTCAGGCTGGGGAGACACCGCTCTGGGGGCCTCTGTCGGGCCAGTCCACCAACTCACAGCTCCGGAACCACAGCCCAATCTCCCTCTGGGCCCCTTCCACAGAGTCGCTAGCATGGATTACGTTCCTGAATGGGAGGCAGACAGCAAAGGTTAGGCTTGAGGATACTCCCCGTTGTTCTCTGGGCATTCCAGGTGAGCAAGTGACTGTGTAGTACGGAGGGAATAATGAGAGTCAGCACCCAGGAGGCATGAGTTGGAAAACTGGGTTCCCCTACAACCTCATGTGCACAACCAAACACCCAGCTTCTCAGAGTGGCTGGGAAGAAAGAACCAAGTAACAGCCCTGGCAGAATCCAGACACAACCAAACCCAATTCACAGCAACCCTATAGGAGAGTGTAGAGCTGATCCTTGGGGGTTTGGAGACTGTACGCCTGTAAAGCTGCAGACAGCTTCATCTTCCTCCCCAGAGCAGCTGGTGGGTGTGACAGCTCAGTGCTTATCCGACAGTGTCAACAGGTACCCCTCATGGTCTCCTGGAACTTCAGGGCTGACAGAGGGTCGGAGAAAAAGGAAAAGCCCAAACAGACTGACCTGACAGCAGAGTGGACTCAAAAACACCCTCGGTCATGAATGTGGCACGGGAATGAGCCATTCATTCTCTTATACACAAAGTCAGAATAAGCCCAAACCAGGTCAACATCAACAAGGATAACCAAAGAACCCCTGAGTGGTGGAGATGTCTTAAAGTGCTCACGCAGCTGCTAATCCAAAGGCTATCAGTTTGAGCCCACTCCAAAGTGCCCCATAAGAAAGCCCTGGTGATCTGCTTATGAAAGATGAGTCATTGAAAACCCCATAGGAGCACTTAGCTTCACCTGTGGCCAGCAAGATGCCCGCTCCTTCTGCTCTCCCACCCACCCCAAGACCCAAGGTCAGCATCTCAGAGGGAAGGCTGCCACCCCCCTCACCCAGCCATGTCCAAGCATCAGGTGTGAACCTGCTGATGTGAATGCTGAAGTCTCCTCGGATGGTCCCTGGGGCAGCTTTAGCTGCATCTGTGTCTCCGATCATGACCCTTGAAGTATGGACCACATTATGGCCTTCCCAGACCTGCAGGAAGAATATAAAGGGATCAGGGAGGAGCAGAGAGTTATGGGCTGGGAAGGACGAAGGGCACATTCAACTGCCCCACCGGATCCCACTCACCATGGCCACCACGGGTCCAGAGCTCATGTAGCCGATGAGGGCTGGGTAGAAGGGCTTCCTCCGAAGGTCGTGGTAATGCTCCGCAAGGATGCTCTCTGGTGGCTGAGTGAGACAAGGAGAGAGGACTGAGTGAAGAGATGAGGGGTACCTCCAAATCCACCCAGGTGCCCCAGGAGGCCTCTGGTACCTGCAGCATCTTCATCCCGACTAACTTGAAGCCGCGTCTCTCGAAACGCCGGATCACATCCCCTACCAACCTCCGCTGCACCCCATCTGGCTTCACGGCCACCAGAGTCCGCTCCTGGGTCCAAGAGGGCCCTCCTTTACAAAGGGGAGAGTCAAGGCTGTGCGGCCTCGGCCTCCACGTCTCCCAGGCCCCGGGGGCTCTAGTCAGGCCCCAGAGTTTCTGCCTCTACCCCAACACTGCTCCAGGGGAACAGAGCCCTTAGTGGGGGACCCAGGACAAGCCCCGTTGGAGGCCCCAGTAACTCCCAAGGAAAGAATTGTGGCGGTAGGAGCCGAAATGGAAAGACGAGGACCCCTGGCTTCACTCTGATTCCTGTCCTTTGAGGTGGATGGAGAGACAGCGTACCAAGAGGGGGCTGGGTGGGTCCTGCTTAGGGGCTGCCCAGCCTTGCCCCTTGCAGATGGAAGCCCATCAGGGACACATCCTGCAAGAAGTCCCAAGGACTCGAGCACACCCGGCCAGCCGACCCTGGGGGTCTGGACCCGGAGCCTCTTTCTACTAGGGGCACTCGACACCGGTGAGGGTCCGCAGCGACGGAGGTTGGGAGATGGGGCGGATGCAGCGCCTCGCGCAGTCGGTCTGAGCTTGTGCCTTTCCTACAGAGCCGGCCGGGACGACTCTCCAGGCCCAGGAGCCTAAAGCCTCAGGGGCCTGGCCTACTGCAAGCATCCAGGTCCGGAGCTCCCCCGCACGTGCGCTAACAAAGGCCGCGCGCCCACTTACCCCTTCCTGCCCGGGGCGTCCACTCACCCGAGCTGTGGCGCACCGGGCTTGGGCACTGGGCCTGAGGGCCGCAGAGCCATCCCCGCAGCGCGAAGCCCCTCAAAAAGGCGCACATGACCCCCGGCCCACCGGCCTCTCCTAGCATAGAGATCCCAACCCAGCCAGGGGAAGAAGGGGCGGGGGGCGGTGCTGGGCTTGAGCTCCGCCCCCTTGGCACCAGCCCTCCGGGGACCCCGACCCCTGATAGATCCCAAACCCCAGACCTAGGATCCCGAACCCTGACTCAAAGCCTGCTAGGCACCTGCCCTGAACCAGCCTGGCCACATGCTAGACCCCTGCCTCATTCCCCACCCCACCCGCACCCCCGCAGGGCCCCTGGCGCTCCCAGGGCCCATGCAAGATGTTTAAGCTGATTTCTGTTAAAACCAGAAAAATAAATGGGCACCACTGCCCTGTCAGTTTGTCATACTGTGGAGGCTTGCATGTTGCTGAGATGCTGAAAGCTATGCCACCGGTATTGTAAATAGCATCAGGGCCACGCATGGTGGACAGGTTTCAGCGAGTGGGGCTTCCAGACTAAAACAGACTAGGAATATGGAGAGGCCGACTACTTAATGTTTAACTACTGAAAACCTTATCAGTGGCAATGGAACAATGTCAGCACCAGAATATTGAATATTCAAATATTATGAATTGTTGTTAAGTGCCGTCAAGTAGGTTCCGACCCATAGCGACCCTGTATAGGGTTTCTGAGGAGCGGCTGGTGAGCTTGAACTGCATGCAGACCTTGCACTTCAAACCAACTTTGCAGCCCAGCGCATTTACCCACAGCGCCACATTATGAATAGCACCACAGTATTGTCACGCGCTCACCAGTCGCTCCTAGGAAACCTTATATAGGGTTGCTATGGGTCGGAACCGGCTCGACAGCACTTAACAACAACATGGTGTAGGAAGATGAGCTCCTCAGGTTGGAAGGCATTCAAAATACGACTTCAAAAGAACAACCTCCTCAAAGCAGAGCTGACTGTGATGACGAATAGAGTTAAAATCTTCCTGATATTGACTTGCGGATGAGGCACAACTCAGAAAAAGGAGAAACAGCTGTAAACACCCACTAATAAAGGAACATGTAATGTACTAAGTATGAATCTAGGACGTTGGAAATGGTCAAGAATGAAATGGAACACAGAAAGATCGATATTCTAGGCATTAGGGAACTGAAATAGAACACAGAAAGATCGATATTCTAGGAATTAGGGAACTGAAATAGAACACAGAAAGATCGATATTCTAGGCATTAAAGAAGTGAAATGGACAGGTAGGTATTGGCCATTTTGAATCTGACAGTCATATGGTTGACTATGTGAGGAATGATAAGTTGAAGAAAAGCGGCATCACATTCATCATCAAAAAGAACATTTCAAGATCTATCTTGAAGTATATTGCTGTCTGTGATGGAATATTATCCCTATGCTTACAAGGAAAACCAATTACTACCACTATTATTCAAATTTATGCACCAACCACTAAAGCCAGTTATAATGAAAATGAAGACTTAATTCTACCAACCTTTTCCCCCCACTCCCCTGTCAGTTTGTCGTCCTGTGGTGGTTGTTGGTTGCTGTGATTCTGGAGGCTATGACATGGGTATTTTAAATACTAGTAGGGGCACTCAGGGTGGAGAGGTTTCAGCTGAGCTTCCAGAGGAAGCCAGATTAGGTAGTGGGAGAGACAGACTACTTCCAAATATTTAGTTACTGAAACCCTTAGGAGTAGCGGTAGAACACTGTCAGCTCCAGAATATTGATACTGAAACATGATGACGAGAACTAGAATCTTGTCAGATATAATCCTGGAATATGAGACCCTCAGGTTCGAAGGCACTCAAAACATGACTGGGAAAGGCTTCCTCCTCAAAGCAGAGTTGACTGTGATGATGTAAATGCAGTAAAGCTTTAAGGACCTTCATTTGCTGATGGGGCACAACTCAAAATGAAGAGAAACAGCTGTAAATATCTATTACTAACCAGAACATGGAATGTATGAACTATGAACCTAGGATAATAGGAAATTGTCAAAATATGAACTAAAATGCATACGCATCAATACCCTAACTATTAGAGAGCCAAAATAGACCGGCATTGGCCACTTTGAATCTGACAATCACATGGTTTGTCGGGAATGACAAATTGAAGAGGAATGGCTTCACATTCATAATCAAAAAGAACGTTTCAAGATCTGTATTGAAATACACTGTCCGTGATAGGATAATATCCATACACCCACAAGGAAAACCAATTAAAACCACTGTTATTCAAATTCATGCACCAACCACTAAATCCAGTGGCTGATGAAATTGGAGAATTTTACCAACTTGTTCAGTCTGAAATTGATCAAGCACGCAATCAAGATGCATTGGTAAATACTGGTGACTGGAATAAAAAGATTGGAAACAAAGAGGAAAGATCAGTAGTTGGAAAATCGGCCCTGGTGATGGAAATGATGCTAGAGATCACATGATAGAATTTTGCAAGACCAATGACCTTTTTAAAAATGTTTTATTGTGAATTATGTGATAGTCTACATAGGAGAACATTAGTTTTACATTCACACTAGCGTATATCATTTCATTGCCACGGTTACAATCCCCTCCTTGCATCATCAACCAACCAAAGGGTATACACTACAAGCCTGCCCCCCTAGTCGTCAGCACACAGCCCCTCTCCCTGTGTCTAAAATCCCCAGCAGCTCCACCTCTCCACATCATCGTCTCTGACTCCATCTCAGGCATCACTGCTTCTCTGGGTAGGGTCCCACTCTCTGCTCTTCTCCCTTGATGGTCCTAGGGACCTCCGCTCCTAGACTGAAAAGTTAATCACTCCCCTCCTTGCTATAAAACGCCAATGACCTTTTTTAAGCAACATAAAAGATGACTGACTATACACAAGGACCTCACCAGATGGAATACACAGAAAACAAATTAACCACATCTGTGGAAAGAGATGATGGAAAAGCTCCACATCAGCACCCTAAACAAGGCCAGGGGCTGACTGTGGAACAGATCATAAATTGCTCATATGCAAGTTCAGACTGAAGTTGAAGAAAATTAAAACAAGTCCATGAGAGCTGAGATATGACCTTGATCGTATCCCACCTGAATTTATAGTTCATCTGAAGAACAGATTTGATACATTAGACACTAAAGATCGAAGACCAGATGACTTGCGGGATGACATCAAGAACATCATACAGAAAAAAAGTAAAAGGTCATTAAGAAGACAAGAAAGAAGGAAAAGACAAAAATAGATGACAGAAGAGACTTTGAAACTTGCTCTCCAGCATAGAGATGCTAAAGCCAATGGAAGAAATGAGGTAAAGAAGTTAAACGGAAAGTTTCAAAGGTTAGCTGTGACTGAAAGCGAAGCCGTTAGCTGATATGAAGCGACGGGAGACTCACAAGAACACGGAAACTTGCAGATGGTACCCTAGCTTAGATAGCTTGCTGATCACAACTCGACTAGAAGAAGATAAAAAAAAAAAGGTGATAAAGGAACCAAGTGTAAATTGCTACAATTTGATGGACTTAACCTATACTCATGGATGTAATAGCTCAAAATACCCTCGGTACACAGGGTTGATAAGGACGGGCAACTCAGACATTGGATACCTAAAATGGGGCGGGGGGGCTATAAATGCACAGAGTGACTGGCTTATTAATTTTCAAGAGGGTTTAGTTTCAAAGTGTGCGGAGGAAGGTAGAAGGTTTCATCTTGTCCAGACGGGTCTGATAAAAAGAGATAGGGATAAGATTCTTATGATTCAATAGTGAGTAATTGTGATGGTCACAACTGTAAAGGTAGAAGTTTTGTAACATAAAGGGAGGGTAGTTAATCTTACAGTCCAGGAACAGAAGACCCTAGGACCATCAAGACAGAAGAGCACAAGTAGATTGTGGGACCCTATCCAGAGAAGCAGCAACACCAGAGAGGCAGAGATGATGACATGAAGAGATAGAACAGGTGAGGACTCTAGACTCATGGAAAGAGAATGGCTGTATGCTGGCAGCTAGGAGGCAGACTTGCAGAATGTGCTCTTTGGCTGTTTAAATGATTATATATTCCCGAGTGTTTTTGTGGACATCAATCAATCAATAAATAACCCACAGAAGGAATAGAAGCAAATCCTGTTGAATGATGATGCACAGAGGAGATTGTAATCATTGCAATGAAATGAAATACTATAGGATGAATGTAAAACTGATGTTCTCCCATGTAAACTATCATTCAATTCACAATCAAAATTCACATTAAAACAAAACAAAAGGTCAGCTCAAGAAGACAAAGTCAAACATTATAACAAAATGTGCAAAGACCTGGATGAGGAAACAAAAAGGAAGAACACGTTCAGCATTTCTCAAGCTGAAGGAAAAAAAATCAAGCTTTGATTTGCAATATTGAAAGATTCTATGGGCAAAATTCAGCCAAGCCAAGATCCATCGGACATCAGCAATTATATCCCTTGTTCCACGGCCTCTTCTGAATCCAGCTTGAACCTCTGGAAGTTCTCCATCAATGTATGCTTGCAGCCATTTCTATATTACCTTTAGTAAA